TCATTTGAATGTCGGTTTGATCACTTGGAAGTTCGAGATGGGCCATTTGGTTTCTCTCCACTTATAGATCGTTACTGTGGTGTGAAAAGCCCTCCATTAATTAGATCAACAGGGAGATTCATGTGGATTAAGTTTAGTTCTGATGAAGAACTAGAAGGACTGGGATTTCGAGCAAAATATTCATTTATTCCAGGTAAAGAATAAATTATCTGTACAGTTGCCTAAGTATCTCACATTATGATTTTCAAATCTTAAGGTTAGAAAACCAAGGCTTTACAGAATTTTAAGATTAATTAAATGAAAGCCTTAAAGAAATTAGCAAACCCAAGGAATAGTCCATGAACAAGCCAAAAAAAAAAAAAAAAATTAGAATTATAACATTTGAATTTTGAAACATATCATAGATAGTGTTATAATTTTCTACTTATATTTCTTTGCTTTAAGATGAATATACAAGACCAAATACAAGATAGATACATTTTTAAAAAGTCATGCAGCAAATTGTCTTACTTTTATAATCCTCACTAAAAGTGACTTTGGCTGATTTTTCTCAGTGGATTGATCGAATTTAATTACTCATTTACATAAGCAATCTGTAGAAAATACTGAACATTACAAAGGGTATTAGTCTGCACTTAGAAGCAAATCTGTATTTTAAATCCTTTCTCTGCCACCTAATAGCCACAAAGGAATATATGCTATATATACTTTTCCTGACAAATTACCACAAACTTGATGGCTTAAAACAACAAAAATTTACTCTCTCACCATTCTAAGACCAGATGTCCCAAGTCTAGCAGAATCGTACAACCTCCAGGGCCTCTGGAGAAGAGAATCTCCTTCCCTCTTCCAGCTTCTGGTGGCTACATTCCTGGGCCTCCCACCTCTGCCTCCATATTCACATCACCTTCCCTTAATGTTTCTGTGCTCTCCTCTTAAAATTCTATTCCGTCTTTTGCCATGTAAGATAATATTTACTCTACTACGTAAGGTAAAGGGATTAGGACATAGACATACCTTCTGGGGGCAAGGGGTGGCTACGACTCATCCGTTTTTGTCTGTTTTACTATCCCTGGGATATGTGAAAATACTTTGAAACTGTAAAGCCTTATCAAATGTAAAAATATGTACATATCCCTAAAGGATAAATAGCTTATAAAATAAAACAAGATGAAAAATAGCTTCATGTAGCAATTATAACAAATTTTGTTGGAAGAAGTATAGTCAGAATGCTATCAGAGAGACCAGTCCCTGGCGAAGGACATCATGCTTGGTAAAGTTGAAGGGTCAGTGAAAAAGAGAAAGACTCCCAAGGAGATGGACTGGCCCAGTAGGAGCAACAATAGGCTCAAACGTTAACAGTTGTGAGGATGACACAGGACTAGGCAGGGTTTCATTCTGTTGTTTCTATGAGTTGGAACTGACTAGAGTGCATCTAACAACAACATAACAGTTATATGATCTTTTCACTTTTATTTATTTGTTGACATCAGAAATTTAATTATTTAAAAAATGCAAATACATTAAAAAAGTAAAAAAAAAAACAAAAAACACTTATCCTTAATCCCATCCTTGTACATGTAAAATCTTGTTAACATTTTGATATATATTCCTTCACATGTTTTTCTGTATTTTGTTTTACAGAATTAGCCATTACACTGTACATATTGCCTTATTACCTGCTTTTAATGCCTGAACAACATAAGAAAAAAACTTTTTCCCCATATAAACATATTTTGGATATTTTAAGATGCTGTTTCAATGGCAAATAGATATATATTTTCAAAAGATTAAATTTGTCTTTAAAATATTAATTTAGAAGAAGTCTCAGAGGCCCTTGTTTTCTAACTAAATAAAGTAAACCCAACCTTTGTAAAAGGGAACAATTCATAGACACCAGCTCTTCTGTGTAGTCCTGGGGTGGCGCTGTGGGTTAATGTGCCAGACTGCAAAGCCATTTGAACTGCAAGGTCTGTGGTTCAAGCTTACCAGCTGCTCCTTGGAAACCCTTTGCAAGGTTGCTATGGGTCAGAACCAACTCGATGGCACTTAACAGCAACAAGCTCTTTTGTAGAGAAATGTCATAGAGAAATGTTTAAACAGCATTAGAGGGAAATCAGGATTTCTTATCTAGGCAAAAATTTTAGGGTATTATCACTAAGCAGTAGCTATCTATATCATTACATTGGAGTTAGCAGAATTAGCCCAATCATTTTTCTGTAAATAACACTCCATTAAGGAGTCTTTTCCTCAAATATCATGAGGAACTTAGAATTTAATTTAAAAATGCTGGTTTCTCACCATTGGCAATAGGATTCTTCCAAATTTACCAGCACCTAGACAATTATTTTATAAGCGTTAATTTAAATAAAATCAGATGTAGCCATATTTTAATAATTACACATTGCATATTTATTTTCTAACTATTGTGGAAAATGTTTGAAATCTTAACCCATATAATAAAGGCAATATTGTTGTTCGGTGTCATCAAGTCGATTGCGACTCATAGTGACCCTATATAGGGTTTCTGAGGAGCAGCTGGTGGGTTTGAACTGCTGACCTTGTGGTTTGCAGTCCAGTGCTGATCCTACAGCGCCACACTTGTTGTTGTTGTTAAGTGCCTTCTAGTCGGTTCCGACCCATAGCGACCCTGTACAGGGTTTCCGAGGGTGTAAATCCTTACGGGAGTAGTAAACCTCATCTTTCTCCCGCGGAGCAGCTGGTAGTTTCGAACTGCTGACCATAAGGTTCGCAGCCCGATTCGTAACCACTACGCCACACTAGGAGCCCACATAATAGGTAGGAAATGTTCCTAAGTGTAGATGTCTAGAGAATAGGAATCTAGTCCTTGCTTTGACTCTGTCGGATCTAAGGAAATCACTTAATTACTCTCGAAGTTTCCTCATCTATGAAAAAGGATATCATATAATCCTCTGGACTGTTGTGGGTGTAAAAAAGTTGTATGATTATGCATTTCAATATTTAAAAGCATTATTGAAAAAGTAAGAACATTACGTGTCTTTTTTTCTTTTAGGTAGTTTAAATTTATTTTCAGAGATCTGATTCAACGATAAGACTGTGTGTCTTTATGACATGAAAATATCAATTACTTCATTAATTTATGTAGTTAATAAAAATCAAATACATGCCCAGCTTAATCAAACCAGTTATTTGGATGTTAACTTTTGACTGTCAGTCTTCAATGAATTACTTCACAGGGCACAATATGCTGTGATTCACAAGATTACTATCTTTCATTCCCTTGACACTGTTAAAAAATAAAGAAACCACAGGACTAGAATACCTGCTGCTCCTTTGGACAGTGCATTGATGTGAATTGTGAAGTGGCATAAAGAATTCATGACAGAATCAAAAGTGTAAACATTATTGTGACTTAAACATTAATACTATCCAAATGACCTGAACTTACTCATAAATAATCACTCTACACATAACATCAGTATAAGCTGCTTTCCCTTGCCTTGCTCTTACCTAGAGGATTAGGCATAATTAAAGCATAATTGAAGTCACTCTAAAATTCTCAATGCCAATGGTTTTCTTCTTTTTTTTCTGTTACAGATCCCGACTTTACTTACCTAGGAGGTATTTTAAATCCCATCCCAGGTTTAGTATATTAACTTTTTTTTCATGGCATTTTTTATTAGTCTTATTTTCCTTTGAACATCATTCATTTATTCTTTCTAGATTGCCAGTTTGAGCTCTCAGGAGCTGATGGAATAGTGCGTTCTAGTCAGGTAGAACAAGAAGAAAAAACAAAACCTGGCCAAGCAGTTGATTGCATATGGACAATTAGAGCTACTCCAAAAGCTAAGGTATTGTTATATGTTGAATAATTTCAGAGAAGAATAAAAGACATGATTTGTATAATGTATTAATTTGGTTCATGCAAATATTGATTGATTATGTAAACTTAAAATACAACTAAGGTTTTATATTAGTCACTTCATTGAGCACCTACTAAGTTTTCAGCATATTATAAACAATGTAATGCATAAATTTCAAGAATATATATATATTTAAGTTTTTATAGGAGCTCTGGTAGCGTAGTGGTTACGAATCGGGCTGTGAGCCGCAAGGTCAGCAGTTCGAATCTACCAGCGGTTCCCCGGTAGAAAGATGAGGCGGTCTGCTCCCGTAAAGATTTACAGCCTCGGAAACCCTGTGTAGGGTTGCTATGAGTCGGAACCAACTCCACGGCACTTAACAACAACAACAATATATATATCCTGTGAAGCATATTCTATTCTGTCAGGGGTTCACAATAAGTCAAAATTGACTCAACTCAATGGCACTTTAAAACAACAATAAACTCTCATATGCAAAATAAATAAATACACTGAGAGTAAAGCTGTCAGGCTTTACTGTAAACAATGGCTTATCCAATGTAATGACAGAGGCACAAGCAGCAAAAGGCAAAAATAGATAAATGGGACCACATAAAAATGACAAAATTTTGTTCATCAAAAAACTTTACCCAAAAAGTGAAAAGACAAGCTACTTGCTGTGAGATTAGTTTCAGAAACCATGTATCTGACAAGAATCTATTAACCAAAATATATTTAAAACGTCAACAACTTAACAACAAAAAGACAAATAACCCAATTGCAAAATGGGCAATGGACTTGAATAGACATTTTACCAAAGAGGACATGCAGATGGCCACAAACACATGAAAAGGTGCTCAGCATCATTAGCAACTGGAGAGATGCAAATCAAAACCACAAAGAAATGCCATTTGACTCCTACTAAGATGGTTAAAAGGAGCTCTGGTAGCATAATGGTTATGAATCGGGCTGGTAATCTACGGTGAGCAGTTCGAAACTACCAGCTGTTCCGCGGGAGAAAGCTGAGGCTTTCTGCTCCTGTAAAGATTTACAGCCTTGGAAACCCTATGCAGGGTCACTATGAGTCAGAACCAACTCCACAGCACATAATAACAACAAAAAGATGGCTAAGATTTAAAAGAAAAAAAAAAAAACCTGAAAATAACAAATGTAGACAAGGATGTGGGGAAATCAGCATCCTTATCGATTGTTGGTAGGAATACAAAATGGTATAGTCATTGTGGAAAACAATGTTCTGGTTCCTCAAGAAAACTACAAATAAATTGTCTGCGTGACTCAGTAATTTTTACCCCTGGGAAAAGATGAGGCTTTCTGCTCCCGTAAAGATTTACAGCCTTGGAAACCCTGTACAGGGTCATTATGAGTCGGAACTGACTCCACGGCACATAACAACAACAACAAATATACCCAAAACACTGGTGCAGAGACAAGTGCATCAGTGTTCATTGTATTTGTGATTATACATAATTACCAAAAATCGGATACAACTTAAATGTCCATCAACAAATCAATGAATAAGTTAATGTGGTACCTGCAGTGGAATACTACTCAGCCAGTAGGAGACATGAAGTCTTGATACAAGCTACAATATGGATAAAGCCGGAAGATAGTATGCTGAGTGAAATGAGTCTATTACAAAAAGACAGATGTTGTATGACCTCATAATATAAGAAGGCAAGGAAAGGTAAATGTATAAAGTGCAAATGCTATTAGTGGTTATCAGGGTGGGAGGGAGAGAGAAGATGGACGGTTAACAGAGATAGAAATATGGCATTGATTAAAGGGTAAGGCTGAACAGCCAATTATTCTCACTGCTGTCAAAAGTTTTACATCTATAAAGAGTTCAACTGGCAAAAGTTGTGTGACAGATATATTTTAAATGACAAAAATAAAACAAAATAAGAGCAGCTGCTGAGTCTGCTTATGGACAACCAAACACCTCATAGGATTTTATTTCTTGTTTTGTTTTGGTTTTTAAAAAAAAACACTCAGGCATATACAATAATTTAAACCAC